GAGCTAAACTGCACTATGTTCACAATTTGAAAATGGGGTTTTGACCAAGTTACATACATTTTAGTTTGAAACAAAGAGAAAAATGAATTGGCAATGTAAAATGCCTTATCCAGCAGTCTTTCAAAGTCAAAACTCTGAAGGTCACAATTAAAAAGCCTTTCTGAGAATTCAGTGACCAAAAACAAAACACACATACCCTATTATTAAGGCTATTCATGCAATTATTTAAAAATACATTAAAGAACTATGAAGTTTTTTTATTTGATATTTTTAAGAAAATAACTTCCCACATGCCCAGTAATTTATCATAATTCATTTTTATGTGATATTTTATCGACTACTTAAAATATGAAAGCACATAATTTCCTTTATCCAAAATCTAACATTTAAGTAATCCATGACATCTGGTTCTAATGCTGAGGCTGACGACATGATTCATGCCCAGGTGGGTACAAATAGAATCTTTTCTCATATACTAATTTTTCAATTTGTATTCACTTTTTATTTTCTTCTTTTTTTCTATTGAGGGGCATTTTCAATTTTTAATTAATTCACATGAACTCTTTATAGATGAAGGTAATTAAAACTTTGTATTTTGTGCTGCAAATATTTTTCTCAACCTCTTTTCTTGGTTTTCTGCCTTTGTGTTAGCCACAGGAATGACTGGGTGTATATAGTCAGATCTATCAGCTTTTTCATTTATGAACTCTGACTTGAATTTATATATCTAGCCCTGTCTCCCCAAGTTCATGTATCTAAAGGACCTCCACACTACCACTGAGGCGTAAGCCAACGTGGTCTCAGTGTGCACAAACACCAAATGTGAACATGTGGAACAGTTACTGTCCTCAAGGTGAATCTGGTGGGAATTGGGGAATTGATGGATAGATCCCCTTTCCTTTCTTCCTCCTGGACTTCCTGTCTCTGGTGCTTTACTTTACATGACCTGTTGGAAATCCTGTGCAACTGAGCTATTTTTTGTGCTCCATCCAGTAAGCAGCCAACTCAGTTGTGCACCTGATACTTGCTCTTGTTCCTTCCTGTCTTTCTCTTCCCCTCATACTTGCTTCTCAATCATCATACTCCCTAAAAACATATTCACAGGCAAAAGTCTGCTTCAGGCTCTGATTTTTGGGTATCCCACACTAAGACAGACGTGTAATAAAGAACTAGTTAATATGCCAAAAGAAAAAAGGAACTATTGATTTCCTAAAAACCACTGCCTGCATTGTTTCCCTGTCTCAGTAAGTGGAAACTCCGTTTCAAGGGCTTCAAGATCACCATTTTGAAGTAATCCTTTTCCTCTCTCCTCTACGCATATTCTACATCTAATCCATTAGCAAATCCTGCTGTCTGTACCTTCAAAACACATCTAGAAAATGATCCCCTCTCTGCTACCCCACAGGCGCTCCTGCCCGAGGTGCCGTCACCATTCACCGGGATTTTTCAGTATCCTTCCTTCCAAGTGGTACCCAGATGTCTAGACTTGACACCTATGATCTATGTTTCATGTAGCAGAGGAAAGATTCTTTTTCAAATGTGCATCATGTCATGTCACTACTCTTCACACAATCCTTCAAAGAGTTTACAGTTGCTTAGAGTGAAGGGAAGAATTTACAACGGCCAATAAAGCCCTCCTTGTTTTAAGCCCTTGTTTTTTCTCTACCTTAATCTCCCCGCTACACATCTAATCTCTCCTCGTCACAGACCTCCTTGCGGGGTATCACACATGCCGAAC